TGGTCAATAGAAATGGCTAAAAGCTTCTGGACTCACTATTTATAGTAAGCCTAGAAGTCAGTGCCATACAATTATCGACTATCAATTATTAGACGAATCACTAAATGTAGTATACGTACTAAAATTCGACCGCTAGGCCAGTCGAAATGATGTGAGTTTTTATCAAAAGTTTTATTTTATAGCACGTGAACGGTGCACGTGGCTAAGCGGAACTTAGACTAGGTGGAACAGATGATGCTTGAACTAGATCTCGACCTTGTGAGCAAGCACCTACTCCCATCTCTCACAATACTACTGAAAAGGCCGGTTAAAGTCAATGGGGTTAGTGATACGTATCAAAATAATACAATTTCAGGGCGGGAAAACTGGATTTTCAAAGTCAATATTCTAGTCATTCTTTCAATGTAGTAAGTTGAATCAATCCTGTCCCATAGCATACAATGTCTAGGCCGGATTTAGCTATTCATGGGGGGGGGGGCTCCTAAAAAGACACCTCGTCTGTTGCTGTGCTATTTCGAACGCTTGAAGTATGGAATGAGAAATGGCAGAAAATGTCAATATCAGACAGATTTCCTCACCTAGAGTATTTTTTAAAGTATTTTTGCCACCCTGAAATTGCGATGGATGCATCAGTAACCTGTAGTACACTTTACTGATTGCAGTTGTCGAAAAGACCTAGGGGTATTCATCTTATGCAATGAAACTGTGTATATTGTGCCTATCTTCTGTCTTGACGGATGGAAAATCAACTCTTCAGTAAGCTAAACTGGTTCCAGACCACTAACGCCTTAAACTGGTTTCAGTGGTATTTTGGCTGTATGACGGTGTTATGTTCAGTCTTACGTGAATGTCTGCCTGAAGACCAGCTCTGATTCAAAACAACAGAGAATAAAAACGTGTGACAATAACAATGACAGTTCACAGTTCGGTGGGGAGGGGGGCACGGACGATACTTTGTGCACACCGCGCCTTTATAGTCAATCAACCCCAGTTCTGCAGTTCAAGTTCAATGTACTCAAGTTGGCCCGACAGGAAGTCTGGCAGATGAGAAACCCAGGGTCACCTTCAAGCCAAGATCTGGTATGTTACTGTTTATATGCACTTTGGAAACCTCATCTTCACATCTGTTTTGGTTCTGTGAGATGACGTCAATTTTGTGCCCAAGGTCACACAGGTGAAAGGTCATCCCTTCAAGTTTTCCAGACGGGCCGACATTTTCTGAGAAGAATTTGGATGGCCGGTTAATGATTAACACAATTGTTTTCATCTCAAGGACAAGTTTAAAGGTTTTATTTTAACAATTTTCACGTTCAACATGAATGTGTTTGAACACACTCTTCAGTTGTATTCTTTATATTGTCGTCTTTACGTTTCATAATGGTGGAATGAAAAACAGAGACTAAAAGTTAGAAAAAATTGTACCATGTTCCAAAGTGATTCATGCTGAAGGTATTGCGCCTGCGGATAGAATTACGGGTAGACACGTTCCTGTTCTGAAATTTACAATCTTCAGACTGTTTTTTTTTTACAAGTTACAAGCTTTGTCCTGTCGGTGAGTGAATGTTACATCAATTAACCTCAAAAACATTTTTCAAGATGTTCTACACGCTTTTTAGCCAACTCGATCAACTGTCTTATGCAAATCATTGTATTTTTTAGGTAAGGTCCAGGTCATTTTTACTTGTTTTCACAATTATTATTGTAGTTACGTTACATGTCTATAATTTTCAAGCAGGTGTCGGGGTGAAAAATCATGACATTTTCTAATGGTCAAGCATTTCTGACAAGCCCTCACGTAAACTATCAGACAGCCAGGCAGCCAAACTTTACGATCTTTCACCCAACATCTTCTTGGAAATCAACTCGTCTGTATCTCTTGCAATGACGTCATGTCTCTGACCTTGGAGATCATCAGTCTTGTTATGTCAGCAAAGCTGGTTCTGATTTTAAATTTGATCATTCCCAGAACTGGAGGTCATGGCCAAGAAGTAAAAAATCCCCCAGGGCACCACACAGCTAGTTCTGGATTCATCGATTCCGTATGCTCTAATGTCGAATAAATGAAACACTTGGTAACAGTGACGTAAATAAAAATATACTAACTCTTTTCTGCCAAATCTGCTACTGGCTGTCGTCGTGCCAAATATTTCTTGGTGGTACACATCAGCTATCTATCCTTAGTTGTGCGAGCTTGTAGTCTGTATTTGGTACGGTAGTAATAATGTTGGCAGAGGGCAATCTGACATGGAAGACTTCATATCACCCCCTTGGCGACACATTTAGTCCAATATAGACAAAATGAAAGCACTGAAAATGTATTGCAATGCTGTATTATCTCGTTTTAGAGTATAGGAAAACATTGGTGTGACGTGTGACGCCGAAAAGGCAGAGTGCTCGGCTTGGAACAAAAAGGTCCCGAGTTCGAATCCTGCCATGCCACCTATCTTGTGCCCTTGGGAAAGGCACTTTACAGGACTGTCCCCACTTAACTCAGGTGAAAATTAGTATTGCCTATTGTTCTGCGTTGGTGACAGCATGAAAATAAGTTGACTATGCCGTCACCATGTGTTGTGTTGAATGTTGAAATAAAAACAGACATTACGATTTCTCCTGAAGTTCAGGAGAACACCTTTTGGAACACCAAACCTCTTTTCTTTGTCGTCACTCCATACTTGAAAACACTTGCCTAGAATTTCGATTGGCAGTTATGACGTCAATCCACGTCTAAATTTGAATATTTCCTGTACTTGCGATTGAACCCTGTTCCGGCGCGAAAGAATAAGTCCTTGAATGTTCTTTCTTTACAGAGTATATATAGTAGGTATCCTTTAAAACCTACCTCCCTTTTTTAGTTGTTAGTCAACACTTTAAGACACATTCCTGTAGTATCGACTGGACGTTTTGACGTCAAAGTTATTTCATTCACAATCCTCCAGGCACTTACATTTGGTGTAAGTGTTTTCTTTGGGAACAAAGACGCCTTTACAATCTTTCTTCGCTTTAGTGGAGAGATGAAGAGCCTGTGGTGTAGGTTGAATTGCAAACCACGTATCATTCCATTCTTTGTTGTCAACTTGAAATCTCCACATACCAGCTTTTGAAAATGGATTGATCTAGACCGCCTTGTTGTTGTATACATGCGCATGCTCAAAACACACGTGTGTGCCACATTCTATCCTGGTTGTAGTACCTACTCTCCAAGCAGAGGTTTGGGTTATTTTTGGCGTGTTTTAGGCTTTTTATCGGGGTATCTTTTTTGCACTGGAATTTTTTTTCAACCAACCAAAACAAAAAATTCCAGGGCAAAAAGAAACCCCGATAAAAAAGCCTAAAACACGCCAAAAATAACCCCAAACCTCTGCTTGGAGAGTATGCAGTACCATTACAGTACCATGTATGGAAGGACCTTCACATTGTATCACGACAATCTTTCAACCGGTTCTTGAGTTATCATCCTTCGACAATTTTTCAACAAATGCTCCTGCAGTTCCAGAACAAGGCGCTATGGGGCCCAAACTCACGTCACTTCTTTCCCACCATAAGAGCTATCTACCAACCAAAATTCGTGACCCTAGTATGCCTAGATCGCGAGATATCAAAACAGGAAGTTCTGCTGCAGTACCAACAAAAGCCGCCAGGGGGTCCAAAATCTAATCATTTTTAGGCCTCATCTAGACCTACCCACATACCAAGTTTCATGACAATCCATAATAAGCTTCTTGAGTTATGCTGTTCACAGACAAACAGACAAACAAACAAACGGACAGACGGAAAAACCCTACTGAAAACATAACCTTCTTGGCGAAGGTAACGAGTAACGTTTTTAAGTACACACACTGGCATAGCCACCCGTTGTAGTAATGCTATATCAGCTGAAGCGACAAACTTGTGTGACCTTGCGGACGGGTATTCGACCTTTACATTCAGAAAGCAGGGGTGACGTCAGCCCCTAACATCGCTCGCTGGCTGACTGTACCAGGAACAGGGGAAGGAACGAATGTGTGAGTGGATGAAAGGGCATCTAGATACATATATTATACATATTATAGATGAAAGAAAGAATGAATGAGTAAGAGTGAGGGAAGAAGTCAGATACTGAAAGATGAATCCATGTGTTACGGAATGTACTCAAACTAAATCAAGTTTTGTGTATTTGAGGAACTCTCTAGAAGCCTGGCTAGTTTCTTAGAAAGACGACACCCACGTTCATATTGTTGACGAGTGTCCGGCTACCAGTGTATAAGTAAGCTATGGTACTTACAGTTTCAAAAGTCGACTAACTCTAGATTTTAGACGGAGTATCCCACAAAAACACCATGTTACATAAGAGACTCAATTCAATAAAGACACCCTTTTACATAAAAGAATTTTACATAAAAGCGTTTTGTTTCATAGAAAACATCTACCAGGTTGATTAAGTTTGATTATGGCCCCTTGTGTAAGCTTTGTGAGGTTGTGTATTACGTAACTTGTGGCGACCTTTACCGAACAAAAAGAGTCTGTATCGTGCGAAATCAGAGTAATCTGCCCAGCTGGCATGTCCCACCTACGTGTTAGCCTGAAGGCATGGAGGCATTTGCGAAGTACTTCCTAGAAAGCTCCATTTTTGATAGTCAAAATAACAGTACGTAATACACAAACTAATCTAAAACAGCCAAGATGACTTATACAGAAAACAAAAATATCCATTGTTTGTCGATATTGTTGTTGTTTTGAAAGTGACGAAATGATAGTCATTGATTAAAGACCGACTGTGTAATGACCCATGTACAGAATTGCGTGTGCATCAGAACGCTTGTATTGCATCATATTCTACTGCATGTTTCATTATAAAACCATATGCCTAATTTGGAATGTCAACAAAAGGCAAGCACAGCTCTTCCTGTGGGGTGCTAACCGAGTTAAAGTTCTCAACTCAGCGGAACTGCACAAGCGTCATACGGAATGTCATCACACAAGACATTGAGCATGATTGGCTACAAGCTTGTCCATACGCACATTTCAGTCTTCAGGATACATGTCACTCGTTTGGTGGTGCTTACATATCATTTACATACAATTAATGGGCAGCAAGCAAGGCCCAGAAAAACAACCAGAGGGGTGAGATAGGGTCAGTTGCAGGTCTCCTTGGTCTGTTCTTTTACCGGCGGTGAGCGCACGTGAGCCCGTGTGCACTGTGAGCACGGACCGGGTAGTTTGTATATTCGCCACGATGGTACAGTGTAGTATGATAGAAGAAGGCGCGAATTTTCTCCTCCTGTGCGCTATTTTCGCCATGAGTATCTACCTGCTGTGGCAGCACTTCAACCCCCCGGGCCTGCCGCCGGGCCCCTCGGGCGTCCCCGGGCTGGGCGTCCTGCCGTCCCTCGGCCCGACCCCGTACAAGGCCCTGATGGAGCTCTCCAAGACGTACGGTGACGTCATGAGCCTGCGCCTCGGCCCGACCCTGGTGGTGGTTCTGACCGGACGGAGAGCCATGACGGAAGCACTGGTCAAAAAAGCCGACTTTTTCTCCGACCGGCCGCCCATGCCGCTGCTCAACCTGGTCCACAAGGGGCGAGGTACGTTCTATTTCAGCTGTGTGCCACGATATCTGGCTATATTGTCACTACCAATGTTGGGTTTTACTTTAGAATCCCCTAATGCTATTCTATAAAGCTGCATTCATATATATTATTTCCAGGCCAGGCAAACGACGTACCACATTACTGTATGTGGTCTGTTCAAAACTGCATTAAAGCTTACGGTCAGCACACCAGAAAAGGTCTAAACATGCTTCATAAACTTACCCTCACATGATCACTTAATGGCAATTCATTTTGCATTTATTAGTTTTTTTACGTATCAAAACTAAGCACGGTACTGTAAAAGTAATCCTTATTTTGAGCCGATGACTCTGAAATGGCGGAGCGTGGACCTTAATCTTTTTAGTGACGTGTATTTAGGGAGGGTACAATGAACGGGTGTTCCCCCATTCGGCGCCAGAAGCCTTTATAGCATAGGGCGGCATAGGGTCCATCTAAACGCATTATTTAGAGTTCAGCTTCAGTACACTTAAAGTTATACAGTACACTTATATATGACGATCATTGACAGCTTAACAATGTTGTGTATCTTGGCAAAAGTTATGGGGGAAGGAGCGTCACCCACTCGGGCATTCCCCTTCGCTCAAGGACGTTTGTAGAACCTGTACTTTTCTTCTAACTCGCAAGGTGTCTCCCAGATATATCGGACCTAAATTAAAGGCGGAGTACATTGTATTCTATACCCGTTCTGTCACTGTTTCAGAGAATATTAGTAACAAGATCTATAAACAAAGCTCGTTTTATTAAAAACTTCTTCTACTCTACCTATCTCGGTAGCTACTACATGGCGTCGCCTTATTAATTTTGCCTATAAATGACCATAAATTGTGAAGTTTTTAGCGTCTCACTTAATAGCCTGGCTACCAGTCACCTCAGGTAGATTGTAGAATTATTTCATGCTTTTTTGATGTTATAAAGTATCTTCCTCTGACTCCAAATCTTTCATTTCAGGGCTGATGGTAGCGAAGTACGGGCCGAAAGTGCACGGGTTCCGCACGCTGCTGCTGGGAACGTTCCGGCGGCTCGGCGTGAGCACCCCGCGGCTGGACGGTCTCCTCAGGCCCGAGCTGGAGGCGCTGGTCGACGCGGTGCACCGTCAGGCCGGGCAGCCTACAGACCCTAAAGCACTTCTCAACGTCAGCGCCAGCAACATGATCTGTATCCTGGCTTTTGGGAAGAGGTGGGGCATGATTTTGATAAAACATAAAATATTACTAAAAAGGTATACTTGACATAGGTTGAAAAATGCCTTAGAATTATCATGCTTTAAGGTGTGCTATTCTTAGTGCAGTCTTATGACTAGAGTTAGTTTTATGTTGTCTTCATTGTCATATTTGGTTTCAAAACATTCAGCTACAAATCTTGCTGAAATCCTTTACTTGCCTTGCTTGCTGCTTTTACTGATTATGGAAATTTGATGTATTTATGACAGGTTAATGACCAAACAGTTTCTAGCAATAGTTTGTATTATTGATGACAAGAATGCTGTTGTCTTCATGTCTCTAGGTTCGACTATGACGATACACAGTTTCAAAACTTCTTGGGAAAGCTGAACAATATCTTCGAGATCTCTTCCTCTCCTCTGGGTTTCCTGATGTTGCACATCCCGGCGATAGTCAACCTGCCGATTTCCGCGATCAGGGACACCATGTCTGACTGTAAATTCATGCTCGACTTTCTTCGTGAAATTGTCGACGAACGTTGGCTCGCCCTCGAGGCACGCCGCCGAAGAGACCCGAACATTGCCGACTGGGAGGACCCATCCGACCTCCTTGACGGCTATCTGCGCACGATCGTCTGCGAAGACGTCGCCACGGAGATGTCGTTGAGCAACGAAGACATCGCGCACCATTTCTTGGACTTGTTCACTGCCGGGACCGAGTCCGTCAGCCACTTCCTCCAATGGGAGCTGCTGTATCTCACGACGCATCCCGAAGTACAGGCGAAGGCACACGAAGAGCTCGATCGGGTCGTCGGGCGCGATCGGCTTCCGTCGGTTTCTGATCGGCCGAATCTGCCCTACATGCGAGCGATTATTGACGAAGTGCACAGAGTGTCTTCTTTCTCACCACTGGGGATTCCACGTATGACAGCCGACATCGTCGACATTGACGGATACATGTAAGTTTGTTCCAACCATTCTTTATTCATGAGAAGCTCAAATCAGCCTGCAGAACGCTTTTCACTGAGGTCATGAGGGAAGAGGTAAGGTATACTATCATGAAGGTTCATCTGTGTTGGTAGTTACATGTTTTAAGTTAAAACTTTCAGACCCGTCCAACACAAAGAATTTCTCTCACCTCACTTGGTCAGTCTACTGCACTGAAGAAGACCAGAGTGACTGGTCGAAAGCTCTAGGTGGGAGAACTTCTTTGTGTTGGATCTTAAGTTTTAACTTTAAACAGGTAAGGGTATATGTAACAAAATATGTAACAAAGATACAGTTTACAGGATTTAAATTCATAAGTAATTTTTATATTTAGTCGGTATTTTTTTTCAGAATACCCAAGGATACGATGGTGCTCTCATCTGTGTGGGACCTTCACAAAGACCCGGACAAGTGGGAAAACCCCGACACTTTCGACCCGTCCAGATTTCTCTTCAGCAACGGTCAAGTGAACGAGTCGAAACTCAGGCAGATACAAGCCTTTGGTCTCGGTGAGTAGCATTTCCTGTTTTCATCGATAGAGGGCGCAAATTTTCAGCTTGTTCCATCTATGTTTATGGCTCCCACCGTTGAACTCGTCCTTCCGGGCCAGGCTGGAGGCCTGCCCGCCTTAGACCAAGGCCTCCCCCCCCCCTAAAGTGCCCCAACAGGGGCTATATGGGGGTGTAGCCGGGGCTTGTATAACATCTTAGAGCCCCGGCAAAGATGAAGATGAAGATGTTCCAATCTGAAATCACACCATCGTCTCAACTGTTTTTACCAAGCCAGATATTTTGGATATTCTAAATTACTCTTAGTATATATATAGTCTTTCTTCTGCTTTTATATATTTCAATGCCTTAGATACATCAGTCAAACATCTGTGTTATGACGAACCATGCCACTTTTCCGTTCCCAATCTTTACCCATTTTAATGTTTACCGATGGAAAACATTGTTTTATGCTCAGTTTCTTCGAATTCTTCTCCAAACAAATAAGGTCAATGACCTGAACCAGACGTCTGTCACGATGGTAACTAGTGTTAGATTACATCATGTTGCAATTTTATAGCAGGAGGGATTTAGACTCCTGTACATGTCTGACCATGTATATATGGATGTGTTTGAGTAAGAATTAACAGAGCAGACGAGACCATATGTGAAGGTAAACATTATGCATTTGCTTTGCAAATATTACCTTTCTAGTTTATATTATATTGTTAAAATAAAACGTGCTCGTCTTATTCCTCATCAGGGTTCCGGTCTTGCGTGGGTCGCCAATTTGCGGAGTCGTCGATCTTTCTCTACACGGCCTCCCTCCTGCAGCGCTTCTTCTTCAAGTCGCCAGAGGGCGTTGCTCCCCCCAGCCTGGTCGAAGACCCAGGCGTATTCCTGACACCCAAACCATTCAAAGTGTGCGTAATCAGACGGGACTCCAAGTAGTTTGCTCCTATGGTTGCAAACTGAATGCGTGGAAATATTTTATTTTAATTTTAGCTTTGATGATGTTAATACCTGTTGTGGCAGAACACATACACACACACATACACGCACATACGCACGCGCGCACACACACAGACACACAGAGACACATATACAAACACACGCACACACACACACATGCGCGCGCTCGCGAACGCAGATACGCACACGCACAAACACACACATTACACGCGCACGCGCCCACACACACACATACAGACACACACGCACAGACACACACACACACACACACACATACGGCATACGCACACACACACACAGATACACACACACACACACGTA